GGAGCAGCGAGCTGCATTCCCAGCGGCCGGCTGCCCGCATGGCTAGTTTTACACCCAAAATAAAAACACACGAATTGTATTCTTTTAAACACTGCTTGGCCCATTAGTTTCAGCCTCTTACTGGCTAACTCTCAAATCTTGATTAGCCCATTTCTATTAATGTGTGTAGCACCATGAGGTTGTGGCTTACCAGAAGGATCTTAACCTGCATCCATCTTGGAGAGGAGAGCTATTGCGTCTGCCTCACTGCCTTTTTCCTCCCAGAATTCTGTTCTGTCTTCCCTGCCTACCTATATTCTAACCTATCAGGCCAAGCAGTTTTCTTTATTTTTTTTAATTTATTTATTTATTAAGGATTTCTGCCTCCTCCCCGCAACCGCTTCCCATTTCCCTCCCCCTCCCCCGATCAAGTCCCCCTCCCTCATCTGCTCGAAGAGCAATCAGGGTTCCCTGACCTGTGGGAAGCCCAAGGACCGCCCACCTCTATCCAGGTCTAGTAAGGTGAGCATCCAAACTGCCTAGGCTCCCACAAAGCCAGTAGGTGCAGTAGGATCAAAAACCCACTGCGATTGTTCTTGAGTTCTCAGTATTCCTCATTGTCCGCTATGTTCAGCTAGTCCGGATTTATCCCATGCTTTTTCAGACCTAGGCCAGCTGGCCTTGGTGAGTTCCCGATAGAACATCCCCATTGTCTCAGTGTGTGGGTGCACCCCTCGTGGTCCTGAGTTCCTTGCTCGTGCTCTGTCTCCTTCTGCTCCTGATGTGGACCTTGAGATTTCTGTCCGGTGCTCCAATGTGGGTCTCTGTCTCTGTCTCCTTTCATCGCCTGATGAAGGTTAATATTCATGAGGATGCCTATGTGTTTGTCTTTGAATTCACCTTCTTATTTAGCTTCTCTAGGAACATGAATTATAAGCTCAATGTCCTTTATTTATGGCTAGAAACCAAATATGAGTGAGTACATCCCATGTTCCTCTTTTTGGGTCTGGCTTACCTCACTCAGGATAGTGTTTTCTATTTCCATCCATTTGTATGCAAAATTCAAGAAGTCCTTGTTTTTTACCGCTGAGTAGTACTCTAATGTGTATATATTCCATACTTTCTTCATCCATTCTTCCGTTGAAGGGCATCTAGGTTGTTTCCAGGTTCTGGCTATGACAAACAATGCTGCCATGAACATAGTTGAGCATATACTTTTGTTGTATGATAGGGCCTCTCTTGGGTATATTCCCAAGAGTGGTATTGCTGGATCCAGGGGTAGGTTGATCCCGAATTTCCTGAGAAACCGAAACACTGCTTTCCAGAGTGGTTGCACAAGTTTGCATTCCCACCAGCAATGGGTGAGTGTACCCCTATCTCCACAACCTCTCCAGCAAAGGCTATCATTGGTGTTTTTGATTTTAGCCATTCTGACAGGTGTAAGATGGTATCTTAAAGTTGTCTTGATTTGCATTTCCCCGATCGCTAAGGAAGTTGAGCTTGACCTTAAGTGTCTTTTGGCCATTTGAAGTTCTTCTGTTGAGAATTCTCTGTTCAGCTCACTGCCCCATTTTATAATTGGGTTGATTAGCCTTTTACGGTCTAGTGTTTTGATTCTTTATATATTTTCGAGATCAGACCTTTGTCAGTTGCGGGGTTGGTGAAAATCTTCTCCCAGTCAGTTTTCTTTATTAATTAACCAATGAAAGCAACAGATAGATAGTAGACCCACCTACATCATTTCCCCTTTTTCTGTTTAAACAAAAAAGAAAAACTTTCACTTTAACATAGTAAAATTATATATAACAAAGCAGTTATCAAGCAAAAATTACAGTTACAATATTTATATTTACTTTATCTTTTATCATAACTAAGGAAAACTATAACTATAACTAACAATTCTTTAACTCCATCAAAGGCTCCAGAAGGATATAATATTACCTAAGCAAACAGAAATAATCAACTTCCAAAACTCTAGAAATGACAGAGACATCTCGCTGCCTGGACAGTCACCCAAAGTTCCTCTGTACCATTGGGGCATCCATCTTCGGCCTTCAGGCCCACAGTATCCAGCAGACTTTTCCATAAAGCAGGAAATTTCAAAGGCAGTTCAGTCACTATCTACTGTGTCCTGCAGAATGTCTCGCAGACTTTTTTATGAGTCAGGAACCCCGAAAGACGATGTCACCTTTAGGCAAGTTCAGCAGTCCTCTCTCTGCGGGTTCTTTGTGTCCAGTTTATGCAATAGTCCAGGCTAGAGCAGTTTCTTGCCCAAATGGCTATCAAACTCCATAAGGAGCCTCTTTAATGCCCATCTTCTTCTTGAAGTAGATTGGTGCTGCCAGGAGCAGACGTGTCTCATTGTCACAAAAAGCCCTAAGTTATTAAAACATTTAAAACGCCATATTCTGTAATCTTTGAAAGATATGAAGAATGCCTATCTGAAATATATCTATGCATTTATAGAAACTCTAATTAACATGACTATAAGCTTGACTATTATTGATGATTATCCATTAATAACCTATATATATTACATTTTTAAATGAACTACATAATCACAATACCTTAATCAATATCAGAAATACATATACATATAACAAAATTGACCTTAAATTTATGTCAACAAAGCAAAATTTATACCAATGCAAATTATTCATGTCTATATCATATCCCCCTTTAAATGTAAAAGAACATATATAAACAATATTTGGGAATATGGGTAGTTATTTCTCTCCAAACTGCTTCCTGCTGTATGGGAGCGCTGTTAATCAGGTCTTTTATGGTGTAACCTGTGTGCTAGGTTCATCTCAGTCGGCAGTTGAGTGAAGTAATTTTTTGATGGTATTCACAGCAACCTTTCAGGAGGGCGTGGTCTATCATACCATATTGGGATCGAAGCAATCCACAGGGTCTCATCCTCTGTGAAAACAAAAGAAAACCCTCTCCAAAGCGTCATATCCTTAGATCCAAATTTGGAAGTCATGATACCTTTAGAACATACATGTAGTTTGGCAGACCACACAATGAAATGTCTTTCTGTATTTAGCTCCTTCACAGTCAAAAAATTCAAAGAAAATACAATATACATAATCCAAACTCTCTGTGAATTTTCCATCTTTACGTGGCTCATTTTTCTTTATTTTTTTAATCTATAATTATCTGTAGTCTGTCTCTTCAAAGACTTTACCCTTTTTTTTAAACCATTAACTTTATTCTCTATATTTTTTTAATTCTCTCTCTCAAGCCTACGTACAGTCATCCAACATTGTGACCCATTTAGAGGTCATTTATGTCTGAATCTGTCCTATTGTGAATCTGTAATTTTTTACTATCCAGGAGCACTTTTGATTTGCGCCTTTAAATCACTAAACACTTGGGAATCTAAGATGTGACATTCCTATGTCAAAAACAGGTACTGCCTGCTTGCCCCACCCAGTCCAACATGGTGGAGCCACTTGTGCCTCTGAGCTGCAGAGCTGCAGGCTGCTCTGGATGTTGGCTCCACCTCTCTGCAATTTCAAAATGGAGGACGTACCATCTTCTACTAGCTCTGGGCCACCAGGTAGGAGCCGCACTCAGCACTTTAACTCTGAGACTGAGCATGCGGCACAGAAACTCTTTTCATCCAAGTTACAGCCAAATCTGACAGGCAGAGCACTGCACAGCCTGGAAACATCTCTCTGCATGACAGCAGGAATCTGCCATGCTCTCCCTCCTGCCTAAGCCTGATTCCACAGTCTGCCCAGGCGGGGAGCGCTGAGCCATTGGCACGGTCTCAGAGGAGTTTCTTCCTGATCCCAAGTGGGAACACAAATATCCAGTACCATAAAATCCATTGAAATGCTTTAAAGCCAGAGTTTGCGGTAGTGCTGGTGGCACAGCCCCAGGAAGCTGCATTTTAAAACAGCAGCTTTTTTCCTGTTGTGGCTGCTGAGTCAGGGAAATTTCTCTACAGCACACCCTAGCAAACAGCAAAAAGCCGTGTTAAACTCTGTTTTTTTCTGTGTTTAAAATTAAGCTATTTCAGGTTTTACATGGATCCAGTTTACCACGTTGGGCACCACTCGGTAGAAGGAATGGCGGGCTGCATTCCCGCCCGCATCCTGGCTAGGTTACCCCAGAAATAATTACATGGAAACTGTATTCTTTTAAACACTGCTTGGCCCATTAGCTATAGCCTCTTATTGGCTAACTCTCACATCTTGATTAACACATTTCTATTAATCTGTATAGCACCACAAGGTGGCGGCTTACCAGGAAGATTCTTAACCTGCATCCATCTTGGAGAGGAGAGCTATAGCGTCTGCTTCACTTCCCTTCTTCCCAGCATTCCATTCTGTCTACTCCGCCTAGCTAAGCTGCTGTCCTATCAAAAGCCAAGCAGTTTATTAATTAAACAATGAAAGCAACAGATAGACAGATGACCCACCTACATAAGCTCCTAAAAACAGGGACCACAGGGAAGCTCACAGTGTGGCTGCTGTCGCCCTTACAGTAAGAAATGAGAAGGCAAGCAAGGCAAAGGCAATGTGTTTAGAACTCAGTCTTGGAGCGTCAGCCCAGCCCAGTACAGTGGTGCACATTTATAATACTACCAGTTGCGACACTGAGGCCACGGGGATGCCACAGAGTCTGAAGCTAGCCTGAGTTACAGGGCAACTCCCTGTCTTAAAAAGTTAGACACCTTCCTGATTGGGCCTGGTGACTTGAGTTTGGTCTCCATGACCTACATAGTGGAAGGAGAAAAGCAACTCCCTAAAGCTGTCCTCTGACCTCCTCTTGTGTAGTGTCACATTGATGAGTGCTCCCAAGAATGTGCTTACCACCCTGCGTGCAGGGCAGCACACATACATGCACACACACACACACACACACACACACACACACACACACACACTCTATTCACTGCTCTCTCGACGCAGCAGCTGGGAGGAGTCAAGGAGGAAGCTGGCAGGCAGGCATCAGACCCCGGGTAGAGCCAAGTGGGGTTTACTGGAATGTGCTGTGTGTTCTTGCAGCAGGCGCTACTGCACACAGCATCAGCCGCCGGGCTGTGCAGAGGTTTGGAAATGCCTTCGACTGCTACTCCAAGAATAATATCTCTACGACAAACATTCATCCATGGCCGGTGTACAAAATATTTGGCTGCATGTGTCGCACACCCAACTTCAGCCCCCATGTGGATGCTACAGCCAGGTGAGTGATGCATCTGGTGGGGACTGGATCGTCTGCACTGGGATGGGGAAAGGACACAAACACAGCCTCTCATGAGGTATGAACAGGAAGACAGGCATATTCACCAAACATCGTGTATTTTGTTTGGTTTATTTATTATTTATTTTTGCTTGTTTCCCAACAGTGGTTCTCTGGATAGCCCCAAGTTTTCTGAAACTTTCTCTAGAGACCAATCTGGCTTTGAACACAGAGATCTCCCTGCCTCTGCCTCATGAATGCTCAGATTAAAGGCTTGCATCACCACCCAGCATGTATATTCAAGAAGTGTCTTGTCATATAAAGAAATTGGTCCAGAAGGGCCCTGTGTCTAGTGGTCCCTGAAAGCAGAACTGTGAGATATAAAGAGTGGGCCTCGCTGTCCTCAGGCCCCAGACCAGGGCACGGCCATCACAGCCACCATCAAGTGCCAGCCTCAGATTAAAAAGTCATCAAATCCTGAGAATTTATAATTTCACTATATTCCTGCAGCTTTGTTAAAAAATCACTTTTTGGAGACAGCATCTACTCTGGTATCCTTGACTTTTCTCGAACTCAGAGAACCAACTGCCACTGTCTTCCAAGTACTGAGATGAAAAACAGAAAACACACACAAGTTGCTTTCAATAAATATGTGCTAATAGAAATTAGAGATTATCAAGCCTCAGGACCATTTCTTCTGGATCATTGTGTTGTTTAAATTATCTTGACATGGTTGAGAGACTGCAAGTGAGAACTGACCTCCTGTGGGTCCTCACTCAGCCTCGGCTGTTCCTTCCTCTCCCCAGGTGCTGCAAGAATCATGAAAGGTGCTATGAAGAGGTGAAGAAGCTTGGAGGCTGTAAAATTTCCGAAGACAACCCCTATGCCATCCCCTACTCATACTCCTGCTCTGGGAGGAACCTCATCTGCAATGGTAGGTTTTCCTCCGGGAACTCTGCATTCTCCTTGGCTCTGGGCATGTTTTGAAGGGGCACGGAAGTAACAAGGACAGTCAACGTTCAGTGACTACTTTGATCTCATTTGAATCACCACAGGTTTATTAGGTAGATACTTAAATTTAGATGAGGATATTGATGAGGAAGATGAGGAAGACCCAACCACTTGTCTAAAGGCACCAAGTTTAGAAGTAATGGCTTTGGTTCTGGAAAACAGGTCTACATCATTGCAATGCCTTTAAAAAAATTTAAAGATTTTATATATTTCTGGGAGAGATATGCCTGTGCCAAACACAGGTGTGGAGGTTGAGGAAAACGAGCAGGAGTCTGTTCTCCTTCTGCCACGTGAGTCCTGGAGCCAGAACTTGTGTTCAGACTTGGCAGCGAGTACCTTTCTCCCCTGAGCCATCTTGCCTGCCCAGAGTCTCTCCATTTAGCTGCTGTGTTATACTGATTCCATATTTACTAAACAACTGAAAGCTACATCATGAGCTACAAGACAAACACTGGACTAAACACCTACGCTGGGCAAGATTTTTCATTCCCATTTACAGGTGAGGTTCAGAGGGTTAGGAATGCAGCTCAGCTGCTGGAGTGCTTGCCCAGCATGCACAGAGCCCTGGATCCATCCCCAGAACCCATACATTGAGTGTGGTGGTTCACAGCAGCAATCCCAGCACTTGGGAGACAGAGGCAGGAGGATTGTCTTAAATTGTGTAATTTCAGAAGTGGGTGTTTGCTGCGGACTGACTCTCTTGGAGATCGAAGACCGAGGGAGAACAGGGGTGAAGACTTAGGAGAACCCAGGAATCAGCGAATGACAGACAGACACAACTCTAATGATATTTGAATCTGCTGCAACTTTACTAAAATTCAAGCATCACTTTTAAGAGATTACAGAAGGAAGTTGGCAGACATAAAAGTTTCCATAGAAAAATGATTACAGGCAATTGATTATTCTCAGCAAGTCTTGTGGTCAGGGCCAGGTGGACAGAGCTTTTCTTTGAAATTCATCTTACACCACTAACTAACTCTGCTTTCTCATGGCCCTAAATAATATCTGCCCTCAAGATAACCAGGGTAACCAAAACACCATTCTTTAGGATTCCACCCCCAGGGTTTGTTCCAATATTGAATGGCTGGCTTCATGTTATCAAGAATATCTTGCCTTTCTTTCCTATCTAAAATGTACCAGAGGTTTCTCATTCTGGCTAGCCTCTCCATAAATGGTAACTCATGCCATTCCATACATTTTCCTTCATAATTTGCCCATCTTCTACCAAATCTCCTATCATGAGCTCTTTCTGTTCTAGGGTATCTGTAAATTCCCCCAGAGAGCGAGCCAGAGTCTTAATCATAACATTAATGGCCTAAATCAAGGGAGGGAATTGACGCATCAGTTCCTCCATATTCAAGGAGCCGTTGAAAATGTTTTCTGGTTCCTTGAACAGATTAAGTTTTTGTCAAAAAAAAAATAAAACAAAAAAAAGATAACAGTCAATACAAAAAACCATCTCAAGGAACAAAGTGAACGAGGTCATTGAGGCTAATCAGACACCTCAACTCGAGCAGACTGCCAGAAAACCACCGGGGGCCAAGCTCCAAAAAGCACGAGCCCCTCATTTTAAAACGGCCACCACCTGAGAGGCATTTTATCACACAGGCGAAACAGCCGTGGATGTGACAAGTGTTCATAATTGTTGTTCTCCTGGTTTTAGGATTAAATATCCACGTTTATTTCTTTTCCTGTAGAGGAATGAGTTGGCATCCCCTGTCTTCTTCAGTCACTCTCCACCGTGTCTTTAGAGGCTGGGGCTCTCACTGAACAGAACGCTCATCTTTAGCTACGCTGACTGTCAAACAAGTTTTGAGGATCCATGTTCCCCACTTCCCAATAGAGTTCCAGATGCCCCAACCACACCTTGAATCTTGCATGGGTGCTGGGCATCCTAGGTCAGGCCCTCATGCTTGTATGGCAACTGCTTTACCAACGGTGCCATCTCCCCAGCTCCACAATAAATATTTTTTGGTTTTTCAAGACAGGGTTTCTCTGTGTAACAGTCCTGGCTTACTGAGATTCTATCTTTGAACCTGGTTGACCTTGAATTCACTGAAATCCTCCTAACTCTGCCTCCTGAGTGCTGGGATGATTTTTATTATTATTATAAATGTGTTTCAACAATTTGGCCAAACCAATATATTTAATTTGCTTTGTCTCTCAAGCCTAAGTCTGCACCTATGGGAGGGCCACCAGCTTCTTTTACCTACAAATGGCAGCAAACAGGGTCATAGCCTCCACTCAACTCCCCTTCACGATTCTCTGCAGATGAAAACAACGCCTGTGAGGCCGCCATCTGCAACTGTGACCACAAGGCTGCCAGCTGCATCTTATGGGCATTTTCCAACACGATGTTTGAAGAAGTTGGCTTCAACACCTTCTGTTAGACTTATCGCCTCATTTACTGCATACACCTCCGCTGCCTGACAGGTTGTGTTCACTACACACTGTGCCTTCCAATAAAGCACCTATAGAAAGAGCTAAGCATTGGTGATGGTTTTCTCTGTCTACCAAACATAAATAGATCCTCAGAGAACATCAATCGCCTAGCCCTGGAAACTGAAGGTTAACAGGAAAGACATTGTCATTGGCAGAGCATCTTGAAGAGCAGGTTACTGTGAGACAATGGTCTTGTACTGTGTAAAGATTTGTCACTTGTATTGGTTTAATAAAACGCTGGCTGGCCAGTAGCCAGGAGAAAGTATAGGCAGGGTATCCAGGCAAGAAGTATAGGCAGGGCTACCAGAATAGGAGAATTCCGGAAAGAGGAAAAGCTCAGTCTACTATAGAGAGCTGTGTGGAGCCACACCTGATGGAAATGTAGAGAGCTGCGTGGAGCAGCACCTGAGGGTGCTGGCTCCGCCTTCCACGATCCCGAAAGTGAGTGCTTTCTGTGATAACGCAATGATTATCAGCTGCTTGCATATGCGTGGACCTATGGGCAGTGCCCACCTGGCAATCCGGGATTGGCAGCCCATGCCTACTTAAGGGCTGGGAGAGGTTTGCCCGAAGAGAGAGAGGGGAAGAGAGAGGGAGAGAGAGAAGGTGAATAAAGTCCTGGAATAAAACTGCAGTGAGAAGAGCTCCCGTGTGTCGCGCGTCATCCTTGCGGGTCGAGGTAGAGCCACGACAGTCTATAGTCGTCACAGACGAAGCAAGAAGAAGTAAGATGAGAATGCTTCATTGATAAACGTACCAAGCAACGTGGCTAACACAGACAAAAATTATGAGTTAATGTAAGATGTAAGAATTCAATAATAAGAAAGCCTGAGCTAATAAGCCAACCAATTTATAGTTAATGTAGGCCTCTGTGTGTTTCTTTGGGACTGAACGGCTACAGGGCAGAATGGGACAGAAACCTCTGTCAACAGTGGGTGATTAGCCCAGCCATGCCTCTTATCCCAGCACTTTGGGTTAGAGAGACAGAGGCAGAGATAGGCAGATCTCTTGAGTTCAAGGACAACCAAGTCTTAAAAATCAAGTTACAGGACAGTGAGGAATATTATAAAAAGAAACCCTGTCTGAAGCAAAAGAAGGAGGAGAGGAGGATGAAGAGGAAGAAAAAGAAAAGAAGGAGGAGAAGAAGTAGCCAGCATGAGATACAAATGGATTCGGGGTGGAGTCACAGAAAAGGGAAAGGAGAGGGGAGAGATGAGGCAGGAAAAGGTACAGGAGAGGAGGGGAGGGAAGGTGTTGTGAGGGAAGAAAGAGAAGCAGAGAGAAGGGAGGGGAGAGAGAAAGAAGCAGTGTCACATGGGCACTAAAGGCAACATCTTGAGCTTAAATATGGGACTCAAAGAGCATCTGCTGTGTGCTCATTCTAGGAAGTGAGATATAGGAAAGCAAACTGGACTGACTGTAAACGGCCTGAAGGCGGGATTACATCCTGGTGGGCTTCCAGTCTTCACTGTGCCTAAGCACACACCACAGGGTAAATGTCCCCCTAAAGTACACGGCAGCCTTTGTGCAACAAAGAAAACATAGCACGTCTTCTCCTGTCCATTTCTCTATCACAGGACCCCGCAGGTATAGACAGGCTAATCCCTGGTTCCCTGGTCAACCGGAATTAGAAGTAAAATGTCTAATTGGTGGTGTAGGCTACGTGGTTCTCAGTCTCTCTTTTCATTTAATGAACAGCTGCCCAGTCCTCTGCCTTTCTACCCCCAAAGCCATCCCCGCTCCTGTCCCACCCAAAGTTCAGGCCTTGCCCTGCCCAAGACAGGTCTGGGGAGCAGCAGGTGCAGCTTGAGCTGCCTGCACAGACACAGTGACCTAAGTTCAATTCCCAGCACTACACGTCAGCCCACGGCCATCTAGAATGGGATATGATGCTCTCTTCTGGTGTGCAGATGTACGTGCAGACAACACACCCACACATTTGCAACCCCATAACTTGGGAGGCAGAGGCAGGAGGATCAGGAGTTCAAAGTCATTCTCAGATATGTAATGAGTTAGAAACAAACCTAGACCACAAAAGACTTTGTCTCTCAACTGGCCTAAACTAATTAATTTATTAATTATTTGAGATCTACCACCTTTAATCCCAGCACTCAGGAGGCAGAGGCAGGTGGATTTCTGTAAGTTTGTGGTAAGCCTGATCTTTAGAGTGAGTTCCAGGGCTTTAGGAAATACCAAGTTTTTCTTGGGAGAAATTAGTTTGTTTATTTATGTATTTATTTTTAGAATTCCATCTCAGTACAGAATACAAAGAAAACAGGTGAGCCCTTGTCTCTAAGAAAAAGGGGGTTGAGTAGGAAGGCTAGAGACATGGCTTAACAGGTATATAGAGCCCTAGCTACTTGTTCAGAGTTCAGTTCCCAGCACTTTCATAAACCCGCTCATGATGAACTGTGGTGCAGGAGAATTATCTGTATTTTGTCAATCATGTTTTAAATAAATGTTGATTGGCCAGGCAGGAAGTATAGGCAGGTCAGCCAGACAGGAAGTAGAGGTGGGCCAATTAGAATAGGAGAATGCTGGGAAGGAGGAAGCCCATTCCTCTGCAGTCCAGCCCAGACCACCGAAGAAACAACATTTGTCCTGCCTGGCTGAGAAAGGTACTGAGTCACATGGCTAACATAGATAAGAATAATGGGTTCATATTAGTTACAAGAGCTAATAAGAACACTGAGCTAATGGGTCAATCAGTTTATAACCTATGTAGACCTCTGTGTGATTTTCTTTGGGACTTGCTGGCTGTGGGGTACCGGGCAGGACAGAAACCCCACAAGCAGGCCCCTCATGTTACAGAACTGTGGCTCCAGCTCCAAGGATTCCATGACTCTTTGAGCAGCTGCACATACACTCAAGCATACACATGAACAAATTGAAAATAATAAAATAAGTCTTTAATAAATAAAATCCTGGAATGAGATTTACAACCCTGTGTGTCTTCTGAATGAATGACTGGGAAGCCCCACAGCTCTACACAGCCCAAGACCACAGATTACCCTGTGAGCTGAGATTGCTCCCGAGGTCGGGACAGGGAAGCATGAGCTGCCTGTGCCCAACTCAGACATGGGACTTTCCAAGGAAGAGCGTGAGTCTTCATGTGCCTCATGTTTCAGGGCACACCGGTTCTTTCCATCGAGCGCAGTGATCACACAGCCGAAGAACCCACAGGGAAAGAACTGTTTTCTCTTTACACACCAGGTTCAAGGCAGGCGTCCCCTTCTGAGAGTGAACATCAAGTAGAAATCCTTAGGGCACCCTAGCCTAAACACCTACCTTCTCCTCTATACAAATTCACAGTTTACAAACTTGGTACGCTATTTAAAATAATTTATTGTTTGGTTAATAAAAGTTCATTCTGCTGTTGATCATGCTGTTAAAATATCAAAGCGCTTCAGTCAGAGACAACCATGTAGAATTAGAAGTCAGTTATAGATGCCCTTCTGGTTCTTCCCTGAATTAGTGAGGTCTCCATGGTGGTCTCCACAGACCACACTGGCTCATGGACTTCCCAGGTGTTCCTTCTTCCCGGTGGGATGAAAAGGAAGGTGGCACAGCTCTACCATCAAGAACAGCTGCTTCTTTAAAGTCCTTCTTAGGAGGGCAGCTCTCATCTGCACGAGGACTCTGACAGCTGTCTGTAAACAGGGGTGTGCACTGGTGGACTGGCCTGCAGACATTGCTTTGTGCCCTCTATAGGGCGCAGTCAGCTGCCATTAGTTTGAATGCAAGGGAAGAAACTTTAGGGATCTGAAAAGAAATCAAACAAGATAATGTCAATGGAGAGGATGAAATGGTTGTGAACATCAGCTTACCTAAAAAAAAAAAAAACAGGGATGGAGCAAGGATGGAGCAGGCATGGTGGCACACACATTTAATCCCAGCACTCTGAGGGCAGAGGCAGGTGGATCAGAGGCAGCCTGGTCTACACAGGCCAGCCAGGACTACACAGAAAGACTCCGAAAACCGCCGGGCAGTGGTGGTGCACGCCTTTAATCCCAGCACTCGGGAGGCAGAGGCAGGTGGATCTCTGTGAGTTTGAGGCCAGCCTGGTCTACAAAAGCTAGTTCCAGGACAAGATCCATAGCTACAGAGAAACCCTGATTTGATGAACCAAAAAAAAAAAAAAAAAGATTCTCAAAATCAACTAAAAACCAAACCCAAGGCCAGTGAGAAGGCTCTGTGGGTAAAGTGGGGAAAGGAGTTTCTATCAGCCCAGAGGGCATGAGCTCAATCCCCAGAACCCACAAGGTAGAAGGCAAGGACTGACTCCTATACATTGTTCCCTGACCTGGATACGTGTGCCATGTTACCTGTGCATCCATACACATGCACACACATACAAAATAAAACTGTAAAAATGTCCAGCATTTACAAACAGTGGTGATGCACACCTTTAATCCCATCCCTCCAGGGGCAGAGGAAAGTGAATCTCTGTGAGTTCAAGGCCAGCTTGGTCTACAGTGCTAGTTCTAGTACAGCCAAGGCTACACAAAAAAAAAACACTTTTTTTGGAAAAAAAAGAAACAATAAGGTACAGAAATGAATCTTAATATATTATGGTAGGTAGAAAATACTCTATACTGGCTGGGTGTGGAAGTACATACTGGAAATGCTAGTACAAAGACAGCTGAGGCAGGAGGACTTCAAGTTTGAAGCTAGTCTGGGCTATATATCAAGACCCTGTCCCCTAAATGTTAAAAATCTACATAGTCTTTGGACAGTCCATGAACGCATGAATGTAAGTAAAGATTGAAAGATGGACACACTGACAGATGTATGTATAGATGGAGGGATGGACACACTGATGGATGTATGTATAGATGAGGGATGGACACACTGATGGATGGATGTATAGATGAGGGATGGACACACTGATGGATGGATGTATAGATGAGGGATGGACACACTGACAGATGTATGTATAGATGAGGGA